GTCACCCCTAAAACTACGCCACATGGGCTGTTACTTGGTGTCACCCAATCCTGAAGGGAAAAAAACAGTGTAGGAAACCCACCAGCCTGAGGTAGATCTCAGCTGCCGTGATGCTTTTTACATGACGAGGTTTGGCTCTTCCTCTTGATTGTCATGTGCAGCTCCAGTACAAAGTCAGCTAAAGAATTAAATGAATAAGAATGTGAAAGTATAAAAGAAGATGTGCTTCAAAGGACACTACATCATAACCAGTTGTAAAGGAAAAGTAGAAACCATGGGGTCCAGAGGAACAGCCTGGAAATTCCGTCCAGTGGTTCTGTATCTTGGAACCAGTGTGTGGGCAAGTACGTGACAGGGCCCTCAGCCTTGGGTAGGATTCCTGGAAATGAGGTGCACCACAGGCTGCTGGAGCAACGGGCTCAGCTGGGACTGTGCACTCTTAGCCAGCAGAGCTTGAGAGCGACTGAAGGAAAATACTGTGCAGCCCATGCTGGCTGCACACCTTCCTCTCCTGGAGCCTTTTGGGGCTGGGCTCCGGCCGCGGGAGAGTATGAACGACCGACATGCTGCTGTGAGCTTTGCCACAGTATAATGAGGTTGGGTGGAGCACTTATTGCAACCTAAGGAAACATGGTTTGGAAACTGGAGTCCTGTTTGCCAGCCCTGCCTCAAATGCAGCCATTGTGCTAGGGAAACAAATTAAGGCCCTGGTCATGCTAGCATCAAAGGCCACATTGTTTCTTTGACAGAGCCAAGCCCTATGCCCCCATGGCTTGGATGAGTTCCCTCTGGCCACCAAGGAAGAGGAGGAAGAGGTGCAGAGTCCTCATCCAGCAGGTTCCCAGCATCTGGTGAAAATCTTGGACCTTGGGTAAAGATATAAAGAGATATTGGAAATAGAATCAGTTAAAAAAAGAGCATTTTATAACACATTGTTCCAAGTTCATGAAAAGCTCCCAGCATCGAGTGACTCTTACAGGAGTTTGTTGTCCATGACTCAGAGCCACATGGGTTAAATTTCCCTTAAAATATGCATCAGTCTGAAAATTAAAGAGGAAAGTGCCTGAGACAAGACATGTTTGGATTTCTGTCAAACTCAGAGCCTTTGGGAAGCAGTTCAGAAGCCAGAATGTGGCTTCCTAGGACTTCCCCTGCCCTCGACCTCTCGTCTACATCTGTTCCCTGCTCAGGCCCATTCTCCGCTTGTTAACTGTTTGCAGAAATGGACTGAGCTCGTCTTTCAAAGTTCCAGAAGTTTCCGTGCACTCAGTCCAGCTGCTCTCAGGAGCCCTGATCTCACTGCTCCCTCACTTTATCCAACGCTGCAGACAGTTGGTTCTAGGAGGGACAGCAGAGATGGTCAAATACAATCTTATCGTACAGATGAGGAAGTCGAGGCTCAGAAAGCTACTCAGTTCCTTCAAAACCCCTGAGAGGGGAACCTTAAGTCCCTTCACCAAAATTCTAACTAGCCCCGTTCCCATCTCTCCTCCAGGATTCCGTCAGCCTGTCTCCTCGGTGGTCACCCACCCCATCAACTCCTCTGGCCACCTTTCCTCTCCCACAGGCCTGTTCCATCCAACGCAGTTCTCCGTCCTGGACTCTTCTCCCAGCCCCCAGCCCCACGACGTCCTCTTGTCTACTCACTCCTGCTTCCTGCGCTCTGTGTCTTCCTTGCAGAATTGATTTTCCTCTTGAAGCACATCCTTTAGTCGTTCTTTCTGTAAGGGCCTGTGAGTAGTAAACATCTCTCAGTCTTCTACTTTGAAAAACGTCTGTAATTCATTCTCAATGGTAAGTTGCATTTCGCATTGAATTTTGGATTGACAGTTATTTTCCCTAAGTACTCTGAAGACGTTTTCCTTTTTCTTCTGGCCTCTTTTGTTGCTGTTGAGAAGACTCACTGTAAGTGTAGTTACTGTTTCTTTGTACAAATCTGTCTTTCCTTTCTGGCTGCTCTAAAGGTTTTTCTCTCTGTCTTTGATGTTTTACAGTTTACTATAATGTGTCTAGGTATGGATTTATTTATTTATTTATTTTTATTATTATTTTTTTTAACCATTTCATGGCTTAGATTTATTCTGAATCTTGAGTATCTCGGTGCTCTAAGTATGGATTTATTTTTATTTATCCTCCACGGGACCCACTGTGATCCTTTAAACAGTGGTTTGAGTCTTTTACCAATATAGGATAATTCCCATTAAGAGTAATAATAGCCACATATATTGCATGTTTCCTATGCTTTACATGTGTTATGTCATTTAATTCTCACATCAGAGTCCTATATCTATTTTGCAACCAAGGAAACTGGGTTACAGAGAACTTCAGTTATGTGCCCAAGGTCATGCAGTAATTGGCAAGGCCATTTGTTGAACCCAGATATTAAGTGTTTAATATAGTTTCTTCTTTCTGTTTGCTCCTTCTGGTACTTCTGTGGGATACGAGTTGGCTGTTTTCATCCTGTGCTTCTTGTTGTTTAACCCATCTTTCACATATTTAATCTCTGTCTCTTCACGGAGCATTCTGGGTATTTACCAGATCTCTCTCCCATTTCACTAATTCTCTCATCTGTGTGTCTAGTCTGCTATTTAATCCATCCCTTGAGCTTTTAATTTCTATAACCATACTTGTCATTTCTAGAAGTTCTCTGTTTTAGATATTTCTATTCTATTTAAAATAGTGTCCTGTACCATTCTTGGGAATATCCTTTTTTGATTTTTAAAATCACTTAAAAATACTAATTTTATAGTCTCTATATAATAGTTCTGCTACCTGAAGTTTTGAGGAGTTTAATCCTGCTGTTTATCTTGACTGCTGACTATTGTATATGGTGGATTATTTCTCTCTGTTTATAACTTTTTACGGTAAGCAGGGCTTTATTTCTCTTCTGGGAATTCTCTGGGGCTTGGAGTGTTGAAGTTTAATTTAAGAGTGGTTTTATATTTGCTTCTGCCAGGTATCCT